GAATGTGCCAGCGCCTCTGAGCTTCTGCCATCCCTACACTCAACAAAGAGCCCAATTGTGAATCTAGGCCTTTGCAATGCTGTTGCTTCTTTCTAGAATGTTCTTCTCTTCTTACTCTTGCCAAATTATTAGTTACTGAAGACAAGGCTCAGAAGGCGCCACCCTGGGCCTCCTTTCTTGGCTTCCCCAGCCAGGTCCATCCCTCCCTCCTCTGTGCTCCTGGGGTTGGAGTTTGCCTGCAGACAGAAGCCCTTCCCACACCGCCTTGTGGTTGGCTCTTTACTTGTGTACCCCCATCCACAGAGCAGGAGCAACTTTAGGCCAGGACAGATTGTAGCCGTTACCATGGGACCCGGAAGCAGGCTGAGTCCTCACACTAGCATACCAGGAGGAGGGGCCTAGGTTCCGTGGCCTGCTCTGCCGCTGGCTAACTTTAGAGCCTGATCAGCACCTCGCCTCTCTGTGAGGGGAGAGCATTTGTCTAATCAGTGGTTTTGGACTCTGGGAAACTTGCTGTTAATACTGATGGCCAAGAACCACTCCCAGTGATCCTGACTCAATTGCTCCCAGTGATTCTAATACGAAGCCAGGGTGAAAACCACTCTGAGCGCTTCCCTGGCCTCGATGTGCACACAGGTCCCCCAGGCCTTGTCAGAGTCGGTTCTGGTGCAGTAGGTCTGGGGTGGGGTGGGCGTGTCTGCATTTTTCACGAGTTTCCAGGTAATGACAGTGTTGTGGCTGACTGACCACCAGTGGAGTAGAAAGGACTTAGCCAATCTCTCCCATCCCTGTCCTGGCATTCAATGCCATTGAGATGGGAAGAGGAGACCTGGAGGCCCAAAAGTCAGGGAGGAGGGAATGGGGGGTATAGGGAAGTAGTGAGGCTGAGGATGCGGTCATGCCTGAGTAGGGTGTGGACAAGCAGCCATCCCCAGGGCGAGAGGCAGGAAGAGCAGCGTGGCCCCTGCCCTGTTCACTTACAACCTTCCCCCCACCCGCACAGCTGCTTAGGATTTTAGTCCTCATCAGGCCGTCATTCCCATTCCAGCATCCTGCTTTCATGGTCCTGGCCCGCAGGCCATGTAATGACTTGTCTTTTGCAAGATCAATTTCGTTCTGTATTTACCAATTGCTTAGTTATTATTTTGATGGATGGACAAGGCACTGAGCCTTCTGGACTCCTGTAAAACAAATTGATTTCTAGCCCACACCACTTGGATAGATTATAGATCCTCCCATTGGAAAGCCCAGGCAGCTGTACAAGGACTCCATGTTCCCTGTGACCCTTGCTCCTGAGGACAGAACCTGTATTAGTCCATTCTCATGCTGCTAATAAAGACATCCCCGAGACTAGGTAATTTATAAAGGAAAGGGGTTTAATTGACTCACAGTTCCACATGGCTGGAGAGGCCTCAGGAAACTTAACAATCATGGCAGAAGGGGAAGCAAACATGTCCTTCTTCACCTGGCAGCATCAAGCAGAAGTGCCAAGCAAAAGGGGAAAAAGGCCCTTATAAAGCCATGAGATCTCATGAGAACTCACTCACTATCACAAGAACAGCAGCATGGGGTAACCACCCCCATGATTCAATTACCTCCCACTGGGTCCCTCCCACGACACATGGGGATTATGGGAACTATAAATCAAAGTGAGATTTGGGTGGAAATACAGCCCAGCCATATCAGACCCCTTCACCTTACTTCAGGCGGGCTTGCATGGAGTAGCTACCCCATCTGATAACCTCTGTAGCTGAGGTCAGAGCTCCGCCTTGGGGACCCTGATTGCTAAGGGTGAAGATGCCCTGAGCTCCAGCAGGGAAGAGGGAGGAAGAATGGCTCAAGAAAAGGGGGAAAAAAGTTATCCAAGCCAGAGGGAAGCAGACAAACAGAGAAAAGCCCTATTCAAGTCTAGACCCTTCCCTGTCCCAGCCACTGTCTTATGGGGTCTTCATGTCTATTGGCATTATTATTGCTTCCACCAATAGACTCGGGGCTCCAGTAGCATCTGAATTTGATTCATCTCTGTCATTCCAGGAGCCAGTGTAGGGCTGATGGAGTCAATGAGGTCAGGTACATCCCACAGGAGAAGAATGACCAAGGGCTAGAATTCCAGTAGCTGAACCCAGCCTGGCATTTGCCACTCATCTGCCATGCATGTGACGTGTTTGACTCTTGCTCCCAGGAGCTCACATTTATGATGCATACTTCCTATTCTGGGTTATAGTCTGGTGTGTTGTTTATTCATAGCCAGTATTTCCACTTGATGAGACCCTATGGGACTTTGCAACTTATGTAACAAACTCTTAGGGAGCATTTGCTATGAGCTGAATACCATTTCAGGTGTTTACTTAGTTAGTCCTCACAATGGTCCTGTGAAGTAAGTATAATCATTATCCACATTTTACGGAAAGCTGAAGCTCAGAAAGGAAGTAAACCTGCCAGGAAGTGAGGAGGTGGGATTCAAACCCAGGCTCCCCAGCTCCTGAGTCTGTTCCATCGCCCTCAGCTAAGCCGCCTCTCCTGGAGTTTCTCATTACCAACCATTCTCTCTTTTTTGGATGTTGTATGCCTGCCTGGATCTTTATAGTCTCCAAACTTTTTGATCATGCACTCCATCAGTAAACATTTTGGAGCACGTTTTCCTCCAATGTATACATGGAATGCCTGTAAATTATATACAAGTGCCACTGTCAGAAATTAATATCTCAAGGCTTGGTATGCATTTAGTGCAATGATGGAAACAAACCCACATTTCAAATAGTCTCCTTGAGAATCTCAAATTCAAGGGCAGGAAATTGCTGCAGATTTGTCGCCAGTTTTATTTCATACTCTGTCATTTGCTTTATTTTTTTTTTCTCTTGTGCTTAAATAACTAATACTGTCTTCTCTTCGTAGGTCCTTTGCAGGAGTCCTTTTAAGTCATCTATCCAGTTAGTGAGGGCTGATTTAACGAAAAGTAGCTAGCTTCCCAACCCAGTTTCCTGGGCAAACTTGAACTGCCTTACAGCACTAATGAGAGAAGCTCATTAACCCTGTCACACTATGTCCACCTGACCCTGGATTACCTCGATATCAATTTGTAAATTAAATATGAGTAAATCCTCACTTCTTTCCTAACTTTTACACAGAGAAATGAATAAAAATTCTGATATTAACTTCCTGCCTCTGGGGTGCACAGGACCCCAATTACAGACTATTTATTTGCCCTTCTCTTGTTTATTAGCATAATTTCTATGGGTTTCCGGCGTTGTTACATGTGATTCAACCATTTTCACACAGAGTAAACCCTTGGGTAATCAAACATTTTTAAATATCCACAGAAAATAATTTGATTAAATAAATACATGGTCAGGAAGACAGACAGTTCTCAGAAACACTTTTATATGTGGTATTAAATTCAAAACAAGTGATCCATGTTTCGTATTACACATGGTCCGAATTCTAAGCTTGATTTTAACAAATTGAATAAACACATATTCCAAAGGGCTTACGATTCCTTTAAGCAGTTCCCACTTCCCTGTGGCTTGGTGGATCATTTACAAGGTAACAGGGCCTGGATCTTAGGTGAGCTTAGATACTGAGTAATCATCTGCTGGAGCAATCTTGTGATTAGCAAGACCGGCTTGACTTGTATCTCCCAAATAAGCATTTTAAGCAGAGAGATGTAGCAGGCGAAGTACCTGAATCTCAGAGAGACTAAAGCCCATACTTATAGTTAATGTCGGAGCTGGATTTAAAAATTAGGTCTTTTGCTAGCTGGTGCAGCATACCAAGCAAGCTCATTATTTTTTCATGTAATAGGCAGCTATTCCCATGACAGTGCTGAGTAACAAGCCACCCGCAGACCTGGTGGCTTAAAATAGCAATCCTTTATGATTACATTAGCAGGTATGCAGGCTAATTGCACTTAAGCTAGGCTGGGCTGGTTTCCAGATGCCAGGCCCTGGGCTCCAGGCCCCAGGTTGCTGGTTGGGTTACACTCTGCTTTCCATATTACTCACCCTCTGGCCCAGCTGCTACCTGGGGAATGTGATCTGCTCCACTGATCTCATTCTAGGGCTCAGACTGAAGGCGTGTTCTTCCTCAGTGATCACCACAGCTCAACAGGCAAGGCCAGCTGGGCAAGCACGTTTTTTCTTCAACTTTTAAGAACATGTGTAGGATGTGCAGGTTTGTTACACAGGTAAACACGTGCCATGGTGGGTTGCTGCACAGATCAACCCATCACTCAGGTATTAAGCCCAGTATCCATTAGCTATTCTTTCTGATGCTCTCCCAGGCCCTAGTATGTGTTATCCGCTCCCCACCAATGCATCCGTGTGTTCTCATTGTTCAGCTCCCACTTATAAGTGAGAACATACAGTGTTTGGTTTTCTGTTCCTGCGTTAGTTTGCTGAGGATAATGGCTTCCAGCTTCATCCATGTCCCTCCAAAGGACATGATCTTGTTCTTTTTTATGGCTGCAGAGTATTCTGTGGTACTACATTTTCTTTATCCAGTCTATCATGATGGGCATTTGGGTAGATTCCATGTCTTTGCTATTGTGAATGGTGCTGCAGTGAACATACGCATGCATCTATCTTTGTAATAGAATGATTTCTATTCCTCTGGATATATACCCAGTGATGGGATTGTTGGGTCAAATGGTATTTCTGCTTTTAGATCTTTGAGGAATTGCCACACTGTCTTCCCCAATGGTTAAACCAGTTTACACTTCCACTAACAGTGTAAATGTGTTCCTTTTTCTCTACAATCTCGCCAGCATCTGTTGTTTCTTGACTTTTTAATAATCACCATTCCAACCGGCATAAGATGATACCTCACCGTGGTTTTGATTCCCATTTCTCTAATGATCAGTGATGTGGAGCTTTTTTTTTCCTATGTTTGTTGGCCTCATGAATGTCTTCTTTTGAGAAATGTGTGTTCATGTCCTTTGCCCACTTTTTAATGGGGTTGTTTTTTTCTTGTAAATATGTTTGAGCTCTTCGTAGATTCTGGATTTAGACCTTTATCAGATGGACAGATTGCAAAAATTTTCTCCCATTCTATAGGCTGTCTGTTCACTCTGATGATAGTTTCTCTTGCTGTGCAGAAGCTCTTTAGTTTAATTAGATACCAATTGTCAATGTTTGCATTTGTTGCAATAGCTTTTGGCATTTTTGTCATGAAATCTTTGCCTGTACCTATGTCCTGAATGGTATTGCCTAGATTTACTTCTAGGGTTTTTATAGATCTGGGTTTTACATATAAGTGTTTAATTAATCCATCTTGAGTTAATTTTTGTATAAGGTGAAAGGAAGGGGTCCAGTTTCCATTTTCGGCATATAGCTAGCCAGTTCTCCCAGCACTATTTATTAAATAGAGAATACTTTCCTGGGAGATATTGCTTGTTTTTGTCAGGTTTGTCAAAGATCAGATGATTGTAGGTGTGTGGTCTTACTTCTGAATTCTCTGTTCTGTTCCATTGGTCTATGTATCTATTTTGGACCAGTACCATGCTGTTTTGGTTACTGTAACCTTGCAGTATAGTTTGAATCTGGTAGTGTGATGCCTCCAGCTTTGTTCTTTTTTGCTTAATATTGTCTTGACTATTCAGGCTCTTTTTTGGTTCCATATGAATTTTAAAATAGTTTCTTCTAATTTTGTGAAGAATGTCAATGGTAGTTTAGTGGAAATAGCATTGGATCTATAAATTACTTTCAGCAGTATGGTCATTTTCCTCATATTGAGTCTTCCTATTTATGAGCATGGAAGATTTTTTCACTTTTGTGTCCTCTCTGACTTCCTTGAGCAGCAGTTTGTAGTTCTCCTTGAAGAGGTCCTTCATTTCCCTTGTTAGCTGTATTCCTAGGCATTTGATTCTCTTTGTAGCAATTGTGAATGGCAGTTCATTCATAATTTGCCTCTCTGCTTGCCTGCTGTTGGTGCATAGAAATGCTAGCCATTTTTACACATTGATTTTGTATCTTGACACTTTGCTGAAGTTGCTTGTCAGCTTAAGAAGCTTTTGGGCTGAGACAATGGGGTTTTCTAGATACAGGATCATGTCATCTGCAAACAAAGTTGATTTGGCTTCCTCTTTTCCTATTTAAGTACTCTTTATTTTTTTCTCTTGCCTGATTGCCCTGGCCAGAACTTCCAATACTGTGTTGAATAGGAGTGATGAGAGAGGACATTCTTGTCTTGTGCCGGTTTTCAAGGGGAATGCTTCCAGCTTTTGCCCATTCAGTAAGATGATTGTCTGTGTGTTTGCTATACATGGCTTTTATTATTTTGAGATATGATCCTTCAATACCTAGTTTATTGAGAGTTTTTAACATAAAAGGATGTTGAATTTTATCAAAGGCTTTTTCTGTGCCTATTGAGATACTCATGTGGTTTTTGTCTTTAGTTCTGTTTATGTGATAAATCACATTTATTTATTTGCATATGTTGAACCAAATTTGCATCCCGGGGAGGAAGCCAATTTGATCATGGTGGATAAGGTTTTTGATGCGCTGCTGGACTCAGTTTACCAGTATTTTATTGAGGATTTTTACATCTATGCTCATCATGGATATTGGCCTGAAGTTTCCTTTTTCTGTTGTATCTCTGCCATATTTTGATACCAGGATGATGTTTGCCTCATAAAATGAGTTAGGGAAGAGTCCCTCCTTTTCAATTGTTTGGAATGGTTTCAGTAAAAATGGTACCAGCTCTTCTTTGTACCTCTGGGAAAATTTAGCTGTAAATCCATCTGGTCCCGGGCTTTTTTTTTTTGGCTAGTAGGCTATTTATTACTGCCTCAAATTCAGAACTTGTTATTGATCTATTCAGGGATTCAACTTCTTCCTGGTTCAGTCTTGGAAGGGTGTATGTGTCAATGCATTTATTAACTCTTCTAGATTTTCTAGTTTGTGTGCATAGAGGTGTTTATAGTATTCTCTGATGGTTGGTTGTATTTCTGTGGGGTCAGTGGTGATATTCCCCTTATCATTTCTGATTGTATCTATTTGGTTCTTCTCTCCTTTGTTATTTATTAGTCTGGATAGTGATCTAGCCATTTTATTAATCTTTTCATAAAAACATCTCCTGGATTTGTTGATTTTTTGAAGGGGTTTTTGTGTCTCTAGCTCCTTCAGTTTCACTGTAATCTGGGTTATTTCTTGCCTTCTGCTAGCTTTGGAGTTTGTTTTTTCTTGGTTCTCTAGTTCTTTTAGTCATGATGATAGGTTGTTGATTTCAGATCTTTCTAGCTTTTTTTTTTTTTTTTTTTGGACACAGAGTTTCTCTCTGTCACCCAGGCTAGCGTGCAGTGGCACAGTCTTGGCTCACTACAACCTCAACTTCTCAGCAAATCTCCCACCTCAGTCCCTCAAGTAGCTGGAACTATAGGCATGTGCTACCATGCCCAGCTAATTTGTGTGTGTGTGTGTGTGTGTGTATTTTTTGTAGAGACAGGGTTTTGGCATGTTGCCAAGGTCGTCTCAAACTCCAGTGCTCAGGCAATCCATTCACCTTGGCCTCTGATAGTGCTAGCGTGACAGGTGTGAGCCACCGCATCCAGCCTCTTTCTATCTTTTTGATGCGGGCGTTTACTGGTATAAATTTCTCTTTTAACACTGCTTTACCTGCACCCCAGAGATTCTGGTACATTGTCTCCTTGTTCTCATTAGTTTCAAAGAACTTCTTGATTTCTGCCATAATTTCATTATTTGCCTGGGGGTCATTCAGGAGCAGGTTATTCAATTTCCATGTAGTTGTGTGGTTTTAAGTGAGTTTCTTAATCTTAAATTCTAATTTAGTTGTGCTTTGGTCTGAGAGACTGTTATAATTTCAGTTCTTTTGCATTGGGCAAGCACAATATAAGCCACTGCTCATTTTCTGGCTACTAATATGCCAGTGTCACTTGGGCAAACCCAAAGTCAATAAGTGGGAAGGCATCTCTCTCCCACCATGAGGCTACAGCAAATGTGCAAACAAGTCCTTTTTTCATCCATCATGAGCAGTGGTTTGAGTTCACAGGGACCAAATCCCCAGCTACCTGAATGGAACCTGACTCGTGGCTGCTCCATGCCCAGAGGAGGGGACTGGGTCTCTGAAGAATTCCAGTTCTGCTTCTAACAAGGCCTTTTTTTTAAAAAAAAATACATATCTTTTTACTATAAAAATGTCCAAGCACACATTAGAGAGAGTAGTCTAAAGAACTCCCACACGCTCATTACTTAGCTTTAACATTCTGTCATGTTGCTTCATCTGTTAATAGCCAATATAACCATAACACTATCATCACCCCGATATTAACATTTAATCATTTGATACTATCTAATATGTTCAATTTCCCCCAATTGTCTCAAGCCTTTTTACAGTTATCTGAATTAGAATTCAAACAGGGTCTATACACTGCTTTTGGTTGGCATGTCTCTTAAGGCTCTTTCAATCTGTATCACTTGCCCTTCCTTCTGAAAATGCCATTTATTTGTCAAAGAAACTTGGTCATTCACACTGTGTAAATTTCCACAGTCTGGATTTGGTGTTTAGCATGTTCCTCTCTTCTCCATTTTCCTGTAAACTGGAGTTTAATCTAAAGGCTTAAGTAGATTCTGGTGTAGTATTTTGGAGAACAATGAAGTCATAGGTGGTGCTGTGTACCTGGAGGCATCATATCAAAAGGTGCTCCAGACCTAGAAACAACCACTTCTCAAGGAACCCTGGGTTCTTCTAGTGGGAAATGGTACTTAGAGATCACAACCAAGATGCTAAATTTGTTTATTGCTACTGGGGTATTATGGCTTCTTAGGGTATTCAGTACACAATGCAGGAAATATATGTATATATATAACATATATATATATATGTTTTAGAAAGAGAAAAATAAATCCTGAGTTATACTGACATTTAAAATTCAATTACAGAGTATAGAATATAATTTTTAACTTCTTAATTTCCTACTTATATCTCTTTTTTTCTAATTCCATAGTACTTATTTGCCCTTCCTTCCTTCCTTCCTTCCTTCCTTCCATCTATACACACACATGCTTACACACATAAGAATAGTTAGAAAATAACCATACCAATATTGGCACTAATAGCAACCAATAAATGAATTCAGTTAAAGATTGCTTTGTGCAGCTTCTCTGCCTATGGAGTAGCCATTATTTATTCCTTTACTTTCTTAATAAGGTTGCTTTCACTTTACTCTATGGACTTGCCCCGAATTCTTTCTTGCATGAGATCCAAGAACGCTTCCTTGGGGTCTGGATCAGGACCCTTTTCCAGTAACACCGTTTTGGCAAACCCCACAGGTGAGATACTGAAGAGACTTCTGACCCAAAGGAACATCATTGGTGTGCAACACCAACTGGCCAACTTTGGGTAAGTGGGATGCATTTACCCAGGTAAAGGATGGGATTGGGTTAGAGGCCCAACTTAGGGGAGTTAGAGTCTGTCCTAAGACAGAGAGGGTTAAAGGCTCCTCTTAATAAAAGGCAAGGACATTTGACTGAACATGTGTTCAAGGCCCAACTTAAGAAGGTTAGAGTCCTTCCTAAGATTAAGGGGATTAGAGGCCCCTCTCAGTAAAGTTCCTCTTGGCTAAAAATGGATCTTGCACTATGGGATATTAATCACTATTCTCTTTGGATTAATCTTCCTTGCACTTTTTGCTGACAGCTATGGGTGACAGGATTAGGCATGTACAGGAACATGGGATATGGGGAGCTTTTTCCCCCCAAAAGAGGGAAAATTGAGAGCTCATGAGACTACTGGAAAAGATCATTTTGCAACTGACAAGCAGCTGCCTGAACTTTTCAGTGTCACTACAATGGGTGGGTCTTTCTCCAACCTCCCCAAGCTCTTTTCCTTTCCCATCTTGCCACAGACAATGCTTTTCTCTCTCTCCTTTCCCTCTCTTATCTTTTCTGTTACTCAGGACAACGATCCTGTCTAGAGACCACATGTGGAAAAATGTCCTTGGGAGCTTGACCTTATAACCATGTGGTGGTACTTCCTCTTGGTCTCTGTCATCCACAGAACAGGAATTTTGGGATTCATGGCTCCAAAAATTATCTTGAGCAATTAAAAGTCTTTGCAAGCTCTAGACTCCTTCTGGGAAGAGCAATGAAAACTACCAAATGCTGTAACTCAGGAGTTAAGGCTTTGCCATTTTCCAGTGGTGGCTCATGTTCAATCCTGGCTTAGAGAAGGAGTCCTTTCTGGTTTGATATCTGTGTAGCCTTAATCATTTGGTTATTCTCGTCTCCTCCACAAGCTATCTTTAATTTTCCTTTCTCTGAGCACAGAAATATTGACTGTTTGGCCTGGCTAATACCAGGTAATAAGAAATTTAAAAGGACTTTTAAGAAAGAGCACATGGTGAAAAGTCAGCTTAGTGAAAAGTAAATAT